TCCTGCCCAAATAATTGAGTTGGGGCCAACCCATGCCCATCTAAAGCAAATGAAATGCGACGTATTTTTGATCAAGGTCCTGGAGGGCTTGAAATACGCATTCGAAATCCGATTTCTTGTTTTGACACCATTCAACCAAGAATTCCGGGGATCCACAAACAGGAGCCTTCAAGATTTGAATATTGCAGGTAGCGTCAACTCGAACCCCCAGGGCTTGAAAGGCACTGATATCTCCACGGAAACCGTCCCCAGCAAGAAGATAAAGAGTACAATTATTGAGGTCGTACCGCAAACCGTACTCCTCAGCAAGACGAAATTCCTCCTGAAAGAGCTTCAATATTTCATCGACAACTCCTCCACTAAATCCGTCATCCGTGTATTCGGGGACAAAGGGGATAGTACTTCCAATATTAGCCTGAGCTTCCTCAAGTAGCCTCTTACGGGCAAGGCAAAACAAGGACATCATCATAGGATTCCCCTGTTGTGCACGCGAACTGATAGCGACCTCGCCATCGTAGATCAAATGGGAAGGAGTTCTATAACATCATTCAGCAAATCTAGCCGAGGACGGTGCGTACCTACGACATTCATCCAGAAAAATTTCAGGAAATATTTCGTTAAAGACATTTTTAATATCTTTCTGGAGGAGGACAACCGTGGGATCCCCCCGACTACGACTAATCCAATCCCTAGTCGCGTGGACCATGGCTTCAGCTCCTCCCGAGACCCCAACAGCCACTTGCTGGGGAAGCAATCTGTCGCGAATAGCAGCGGTATCCAGTCTGAAGGTGCACTTGAAAACAAGTTTCCGGAAAACGTATCCCATCACGATAGGCCTAGCATCCTGAGTCAAGGGGATAGATTTACCCTCCTTATCAATCTTAGCAATTCCTACAAGAGTGCCCCCAGCAAGCCATGGCTGCAACGCCGCCGGGACGTCCGCATCAGCAAGTACTTGCAAGAACTGCTGCAGAATTGGGAGAAGGAGAGATTCGAGTGAATGCCCAATAGCCAATAAGACCCTTGAGAAAGTCAGCCCTAAGCGCATCAGGTCCTGGCCCAGCTCCCACAGGAAACGAATGAAGGGCTTTCAGGAGGATACTAAGCTCGATTTCAGGCGTAGGAGGGAGAGCCGATCGGTGCAACCGGCCCCTGGGATTTCCCGGGAATTTAGCAAGAAGCTTATTCTTGATATCATGAATATTCTATAGCCAAGAGTTTCGTCATTATTCTTCAAAGAGATTTCCGAAATCAAGATTGATCTATTGAAATGAGAGAAATTTTAAATATGGAATCAATATTTGAAGATATTAAATCCCGAAAATCCTAATTCCCAAATTCTTTCAAAAATAAAGAAAAGAAAATATCGTTTATGATATAAAATCAATTCCAAATCATCAAATCGAAAATTTGATCCAAAATACTAATCGGAAATGAATATAGATTCGAGAGAGCATAATATATTTAAGTAACAAAGAAATCGATAAATTAATTCATCAATCAATAGGATGTTGTTCTAAATTCAAATATCGGTGTTCCAATATTAGATTTCCTTGCGCCCGCCCTTGTGCCAGCTTGCGCGCGTGGGGTTTTGGACAAAACCCATAGCGGAAAATCCGATGACCAAATAATATGTAAGATCGCATATACAGTCCGATGAATTAGAAATATTTTAAGACCGTCTATGATATATGGATCCTGAAAGATTGTAGATCTCCCTCCCAAATCTTCACATTCCGCCGAGCCGCCGCGCAGACAGCCCAAGGCAGGGAAATAGCTCGAAATCTTGGGAGATTTCTGCTCACGCGGCTTTTTGATCGCGCGGCCCCCGCATCCAGCCCAATCTTTCCGCCTCATTTATCCCTCTTGGACTATCTGCGCGGCGGCTCGGGGGAACGCATAAATCTCCGTTATTAGATACGGCCAATCTATAAAGTCTGAAAAATTTGAATTCTCCGTCCCGGGTCTACGCGCTCCTCCGACCATCCGCGCTGATAATCAAAGAGAGATACATCACTCGGAACATATAAGATCGCGCATCAATCCCAACGAATAATCAGTATATAAGACTGCAAGTGACCAAAAATGACCAACCTAATAGATTCTGAAAGATTCTATACCGAGCCGCCGCGCAAACAGCCGCAGAGAGAGAAATGGTTCGAAATCTCGGCAGATTTCGGGTCGCGCGACACCCGCATCCAGCCCGGTCTGTCCGCTTCATCTATCTCTCTTGGGCTACCTACGCGGCGGCTCGGAGGATTACATAAATCTCCTTAGACAGACACAGCCAACGAATAATTTCGAAAAGATTTTGGTTCTCCATCCCGGGTCTATGCGGTCTGCCGAGCAGCCGCACAGACAGCCAAAAAGAGATAAATCACGCGGAAAACCGCTCCAGAAGCAAAGACCGCGCCACCAAAAATCTCCGAGATGTTTGGTCGCGAGCCGCCCGCACCAAAAATCTCGGAGATTTTGGAGCCTCTAGCTTTCCCGAAGGGCTTTAAAATCTCTGAGATTTTAGAGCCCCTTGAGAGCCCGCAGAAGGCATTTTCAAGTTGAGCCGGAAAATCTAGGCCGCGTGCGAGCGAAACGACCGCCAGTGGCCGCGCCGTAATATTGAAATATATAAATCTTCTGACAATTTGCTATATTAATTATATGATTTAGTAATCAAATAAATTTTTTCAAATCGTTTGACAGATAGATAGATAAATCGATAGATTGAGAGATCGGCAAGAAATAGATAGATATTAGGATCCTGAGCGATAGCTAGAATGCGGAGAGAGGGCGGCACGTGGAAAAATCTCTAAAATTTTAGATCATCTCTCGTAGATCTCAGAAATTTCAGATCTTCTATCTTTACCGAAAAACGCTAAATTTTCAAAAAAAAATTTGGAATTCCTAAGGAATCTATAGGACATATCTTAATAGAGATTCGGAAAAATTCGGGGTTCCGTGCGAGTGATACGGCCGTAAGTAGTTGTTAGCTGCATCATTATATTAAGAGAGAGAGATATATATTATAGATTTTTCAAAGAATTCTCATCTATAATAAGCAATCCTGATTAATATAAGGATACCTCCCAAATCTCTGGATGAAATAGAATCGCTAGTTCATATGCGGGAGACCCACCCCTCCCATGAACCTAGATTTAAATGAAATTCAATAAATTGGATCAAGATCGATTCGGCAATGAATCAGAAATTCAAGGATCCCTGCACGAATCAGGGGGCGCAAAATCCATGATAGCATAATCTCAAAGATGGGGTTTATGCCTAAGTCTTGTAGTTCCATATATTTGGAATTTCATCTCTAGCCATTAGCCCCATATCCTCATGCCAGGCGCATTTGTGGACTTTTTTCTTCTAGCTTCTGTTCTGTTTGCACGCAAATCCCTTTTGCAGAATGTGGGGGCTGTTCGAAACCTGGGGCCTCGAATCAAATGCCTAGATGTTGAGCACTTACACACCGTCTGCATGGCACCAACAAGCCCCGTTAAATGTGAACGCGCCCATGTACTGTGCAGGAAGATAAACTGAATTAATTGCCGGTTGGATAGCCTCAAAAGTGTTCAAAAAGACTTCCTCACCTGTTCCAGTGAGGCCGGCATACAGAGGCTTCATGGTCCCACGAATGATGGTGGGTAGCACCAAGGCCCTCCAAAGGTCCGGTGCGAACGGAATGAACTTTGTGGGCTAATTTGATGCCTTATTATCTTTAGCTGAACCATTGAAGGTTGTCTTCTATAGTTGACTCAGCCAACCTCTTGGTTTACAACATGACACCGGCACCATCATCATGGGAGCTAGGCTGACTGTTTAGGCTCGGATGGTGCGTGCCTCAACACTCAGCCTTTTGTACGCAACCTGCCGTCGTATAGCGATGTCGTCCCAAACGGTCCACTCCTCGCGGATCCGACCGTTCATGACGCGCGCTTGCGTAACACCCATAATATACACCTTGGATGAACTCTATTTCCGGGATGCGAACCCTAACCCACAGTGCATCATACGCTATTCCACACCCACTCTTTTGCATGGAGTATGATACTATGATCTCATTGGGGCACTTGCTGGGACTTCACCGCTAAAGGTTTAATTAGTTTCCAATCTCTCCGAGAAACCGGCAGCCCTGTGGAGGCACCATAAAGCCCATCGGTCTCATGAACCCCCGAGACGGCCCAACGTATGGCGACGTCACGGGCCTCACCCAAATATGGGATCTCTGCGATGTGCTGTACTTGAAGGCGTGTACCTGGCTTTTAGAGTTTTGGGGTTCACCAGAACAAGTGCGCTTTTGGAACATGTGTGTGCCAGTTCTACTCAATTCTGGAACCACGTAAAGTGAGACAGGTTAAGACTGTGCTGGCTCGGTGCTGTTAAGAGCCCCCAGCACCGGGCGGAAGAAATTTGCGAGCTGATCGTGCCCATAGAGATCCCGAGCGCCAGGCACGTGCGCCGAGACCTGGGCTGCTAAAAAGCCCAAGCTACCTGGTAAGGCATAAGATCTTGCTACCCGTGTTGTCCTGGTTTGGCTCTACGGGTCGTAGGCTAAGTTATAAGAGTTAAGAGTCTCGCTCGCCGCAAGTAAGGTTTCTTGCGTTGAGCACCGTATCCCATAAACTCTAAGCCCTAGACCAACGAAGTCTGTCAGCAGCCAAGAAACCCGGTAGTCGTAGATCTCGTCGAGGCCCTCCAAAGACCGGAGGTTCCAGATCTTATTAAGAGCTGCAACCAAGACCTGAAGATCTCAGAATCGGGCCGCCTTCTTGACAAATGGAATGTGTTATTAGATACAAGGCGTTTCGTCCTACGAGCCTACCATAGGGAACATGGGAGGCACTCAGTATATTGACACTCATTTTTAGCAAGCCCTACCTTTCAAATCCCAGGGAAACCCCACAGTAAGCCAAGATGGTCTTGGCTTGACATCCCTTGACCTCAAGGCGTTGCATGGGAATATCGCTGGGCCTGATGACGCTAAACAACAAGGTTCTGAAACACCAAGACCTTAAAGGCTCATTATTCAAGAGGCGCGACAGGCTTGCTGAGGAGTCATTTGCGTAAGCTTCCTAGAAATTCATCCCAGAACACCGTTCAAACCAGCACCCACCCGAAATGAGGATAGCAAGGCCTGAACAAGCCTCAGCAAGTCTTAGCAGTCCTTATCCAGGTGTGGGGCTTTTATGAAAGCTCGGATATACGAGCATGTTACAAAGGGGTTCCCACCTACTGAGGTATTCACACTACATACTCGCATTCATGAGGTGTCGAATCACCCCTCGACGATTGTATGATGCGCCAAGATGGTGATATCGGAGTCGTAGTAAGCCGGACAGCGGTATGCTTGAGGAATGCTGTACTTTGGCTTTAGGATGACTAGAGGATCCTGTTGGCATTTGCTGAGGTTCTTATGTGTTGCACAATGTCTTTGCCCCCAATAAGTCTCAGGTGAGGGATCTGAATCATCCCGTTGTCCTTTACGTAAGCGCCTGGCCTGCACATCTTCGAAATACTGCAAGGACCAAAGGATAATGCTGTGTTTGCTTGTTCAAGCTTCATATCAAGTACAAAGCGCCTAGAATACCACGTAGGCTCATTAAGTTGGGCTCCAAGCCGCTGAGATCGCTGATGCAAGGACACGAGGGCTCAAGGTCCAGTTAAGTGTGCATTTGGGGTGTTGCATCCAAGGTGCTTTGACTGCCGCGCTCTCCGAAGACGCCCGGGCCTCAAGCGCGACAAGCGGCGCAGTGTCGATGGCGGCACGTGCATTCCTGGGGGGAGACATGGACTTCAGGAATCAGGGGTTTTAGGGAAGCTTCTTTGAGTATGGGTCCTAATAGTTGGCGTCTGGTGTTTGCCATTTGCTTCCTCAATGGCCTGGAAGGTTGCTAGGGCATTTGTGGATTTAGGCAGGGTTGAAAGAAGCGTCAGCAAGGACATGCTGGCTATTATGAAGTAAGGCCTTGATTGGGAGGTTTCTGAAAATACCATTGTGGGTTGATCCTCGGGAATTTCTCGCAGGCATGGCGGGACGCTGTGGACATGAACATGCGTAATGTAAACAGATAAATAAGCAAATGCATAGATGCACCAATTGTAAGGGGTTCATGGGGTCCTCACTAGAGTCCCTAGAGGTTGCATGGGGGAAGTTTTGAGCGACGCGCATATTCGGGACCCCGCCTAAGGTTACCACCACTGGTCGAAGCGGGTTGTTGGTGGTCAGATGAAGGGCATACAAAGCCACACAAGGCTCTTTCAAAGTGTTTATTTGAACAACTGCCTACCACAAAACTGGTCAAGAAAAACGCACTTCTTCGGTCCCCTGCGTTCGCCAAAAGACGAAATTCTTGCTGGCTTTGCGCCTCTAAGCTTCGCATGAAAGTCTGGGAGAGAGAAGCCCTTTTTTTGGTCTGCCTCGGCCTGCTTAAGAGCCACTGCATCCGGGTCAAGGCCCAGTTGCTGAACCAGGCCCATGTTGTCGCGCACCAGCCACTCCTCTATGATCCTGTTCCTTGCTCTTCGTGAACCGTTTTCAAAAGCTTTAATCTAGAGAACTCTTAGATTGACACGCTACAAGAGGTAATCTATGTCGAGCCGAGCAAACCAGCCTAGCAAGTTTGATTCCATGCCCAGCTTTGTCGCATCTCAACGCCCTCTTCTGACGCTGTAAGAGTCCGGGTTTAGATTCGTAGGCCAAATTTCAGGTTGTGCAAGGAAACGTGCGCACCCCAGCAAGATTGGCCAAGATGTCTCACAGAATGTCACCCTGTATGAAAATGCGCGTTCTTAAGAGAGCTCTCCAAACTTGGAGGGTTCCCAATGATACAACCTAGAGCCTAGAACATGCACCCAAACCAAAACCAACGGTCTAAACAAAAGAATAGAAAACCTGCAGAAACAACATGAACCATGTTTGAACGCCATGGCTCTCGAAGCAGGCGCAGTCAGCCACCGTCAAGACACGTACGGCCTTGCCGGTAGCAGGCCCGAACTCACTGTCACCAAGGTTTGTCATCTTGGAAGTGATCCTTAGCCACACCCCAGCCTTTTTACCATCCTGCGTGGCTCAACACTCGTCTTGAGGATTTGGGGTTTAGGAAGCCTAAGTAACCTCCGTAGGGCCCGGGACTTCTCAGAGAGCCCTCACTGGCTGCTGGGGCCTAGTGTTGGATAGTGTTCAGGGTGTACGTTTTGACAATGGTCAGCGCAAGTCTTGGACCTTTGGGGAGAGGTTCACTGTCGTTTTCCGTTGTCTGCCTTCACAGACTTGGAAGCTTTGGGGTGCCCCGCCCTCAGACAGGACGAATGGGCAACCTCAGCTCCCAAAGGAAAGACTGTGTGAAAAAGGTGGATTTGCCTTTTGGTTGTGACTTTGGCAAATTTGTTTAGTCCTTGAAACTTGAAAGCAGAAGCGGAACCTTGTCGCTTCAACCCCTTAAACATTGACAAAGCCAAGCTTCTCTAGTCAGACTCTACTCTGCGATACGAAGCCCTTCAGGGATAGCTTTGACCCCCCCCTGGATGAGATCAGCCGAAGAGCAAGTGCGAGGAGTAGAAGGTGTCGCCGTCCTTTGACCAGACGACATTGTCGGCTTCCAGGCGACGGTCGGGGAAGGCTTTGAGCCTGAGACTCTCACCCTGCTCCCGCACTAGTCCTAGATAAGACGTATTGTAGCCGAGCCTTGGCAAAAAGATGTGAGTCTTATATGACCAAAAGCTTGAAGCAGGGAATGACTTGCATCGGTCATTCTTCTTCGTGCACATCATCAAACTCATCTATCAAGCAAGCTTTGTGACAGACACTCTCCTTCTCCAGCAGGTCAGCAAGCACTAGGCTCACTACGAACCTCCCTCTACAAATCGAAAACCCATAAACACAGAATACACGCATACAGGCAGAAACATGAACAACACTGAGGACTTTCCAGAATAAGCTGGTCTTCTGCAGCCTATGTGAGGGAACATGGACAGACCCAGCATTGCTCGTGTTGAGTCCTGGAAGAACTTTGTCAAAGCGCCTTTAAGCTGACAACGCTGGTGAAGAATAGCCTCAGACACCTGAAATCACGACTTGTTATCATCTGCATAGAACCAAAGATTCAAATGAGCTGCTGGAAGCTCCGCATACGACAGCTAATGAGGTCTACAACAGAAAGCAGGATGACTCCCATAGAAGTCTTTCTATGCGTGTATGGCAGGAATGAGCCAGCACTTTCAACAGCAGCCAGGAAGCGTCGCATAGGTGTTGTCAACGACCGTCTGGGCACCTGTGATGTCACCCGCCAGCGTGTGGATCGCAGCCTCGCCGCCGTAGTACTCAAGACACAGCTCGACCTCACGATGATGCCAAATCCTTGCCGAGGTGCCATGTGTTCACTTCGGGGTACTTTCTATGAGTGTACATGCCTGGACCCTTCCGGAAACTAAACTGACTGACATAACCCTGTTCCAGGATTTGTAATTGGGGAGGGTTTGAGGATGTGCGGGTTTTGGGCTCGAGTTTGAGAGGCTGAGATAGCACTTGAATTCCGAGGGTTCTGATTGAGTTCATACTAGATGAGTGAACGAATTTGTGGCAGTACAACAAAAAAAAGGCCTTGGAAAACAATAGAAGCCATTATCCATTTCTGCTCTCCAAAAGAGGCGGCTTTGCAATCTGCATAGCTAAGGTCTTGCTGGAAACTTTGGAGAGGGTCAAACTTGTGTACAGTAGCGCAGCAGTAGACCCGCCATGAGCCTTTCAGAATATCTTGCGGGGCTTGGGGTTGAGCTAAGGGTAGCTGAGGGCGGCACACTTGGCAAGCAGTAAGGCTATGAGGCAAAAATCCTAGTCCTCTATGGGGATCCTGCTCAAATCCTCTGATACCGCCACAAAAAGTTCAAGACCATTGTTGTGTCTAGGGCCCACCGGCCCAGCATCGCAGCAACAAAGGTTGTATTTCGGGTTTTACAAGCCCCCAAGTTGTGAATACCCACCAAAACTATTCTAGGTTTCTATATACAAGGTCCAAGGTATTGCATTTGGGCTTGGGTAAGTTTTCCTTACTGAATCACAGCGACCCTTCTGGACTGGCATGATGCATGTTTGCAGACCTACTGGCGAGCTGTTCCTTGATCTGGTCTCCCAAATTAGGCCCAGAATGTTGGGTAGATTTCATGTGGGTCACAATTCCCCAAAATCAACTCGGTGGTTCCAAGGCTCCTTTCAGTGATGCGGATGATATAGTGGGGGAAATCGACGAACTCCGGATCGAAGCCTGGAAGTTCCATGCGCCGATCCGGCCCCGGGTTCATCATGTCGGTGATATCCGTCGTGGCGACATGGGTGATGGGTTGCGGGCCCACCTTCTCTGTGACTGCCCCCACCACCGCCAGCGCCACGACTGCCATCATCAACGCCACAGCCCGTGACTGCTCCGCCATTGCGATTGGACTAAAAAAGCCACTGCCGCGCCCACACTTCGGTGCGCAGCTATGCGGCTTCTGAGCTCACCTGTTTCAGGAATGCGTGAAGTACTGGACATGGAGTTGGCCGTATTTGCAATACTGTATGCCAACTGTTTAATGAAATCTGTCTGGACGGAAGCTTTGAAACAGACGCTTGTCTCCGACAACTGAAGGAGACATCTTCTCCTAGAGCCCAGGCTTGCGGAACATGCTGACTGCTGAATTGTGAGGTTTTGCGTCGAAATCCTAATACCTACAAAGGGGGATTGACACAGTAAGGAGGGCTTTGGGCTAGTCTCAACTGACTACCAGTTCTAGGATGTCGTGTGCAATCGTGATAGCAGTGTCTGTGCGGGAGCCTCGATCTCAGCATGTGAGCAAACATGTTGGACAGTCATGGGAGCCCCAAGCACCTGAAACTCGCAAGGCTTCAGACAAACAGGACCCCAATGATAAGCTCATTCCTAGCAGAAGGGGCCAATCTCCCGCGACCTTTCAATCCATTCTTAATCTCTCTCTGCGTGCGAAAATGAACAAAACAGCACAAATTTGAAGAAAAACCTAACATAGTTTCATGACTGCCAAGCCTGTGTTGTGGCACCAGCTTTCGATGAGAAGGCTACTCCGTCTTCACAAACCAATTCCAAAACGTTTCCACAAGCCCGAACCAAGGCGTGCGTATCAGTGAGTACTGTAGGAGCGGGCAGAAGACCAGGGCCTGTGAATCAAGGCTGAGGCCTCGTCTTCAGAAACGTGCTGCGAAATGCAAAGGCAGAAATCACCTAGCTGCCAATCCATCTGTCTACCCTCACAACCAAACTAACATGGAACCCATACAGGCACTTGGTGGCGGTTTCACGAGGGGCTTAGACGCTACAGGGCCATGCCATGGTAGTTCTGCGGAGGATACCATTTGCCGTCTGGGGCCTCCAGCTTAAGGTCCTGGAGGAGCGAGTAAAATTTGTACAGGGTACACTTCTTGAAGAAAGAGATTATCTCAAAGCAGAAATGGAAACTTGACGTGGGCCACCTTGGGGGCGGGTGCTGCGCTGCACGGTAGTTTAATTGTCTGCCTTTTCTCGCTTCCAGTGCGTCGAGATGCCATAATGGCAGGGCAAAACCAGCGGCGAATCGGACCCGACTGGCCGATCCCGTTCAGACCCAATCCAGCATTTGGTGCTTTGGGTACAGTTGTTTGTGTACCATTCTTGCGTTCTCACGATTCGTACTGTTTTCTTACAAATGTTATTCTTGTTTAAAACACTTGTTCTGTTCTTGCTCTGGCTTTGGTTGCTGTTCTTACAATTCGTTCCTGTTGCAGTACACTCTTAACATGTTTAAAGATAGGCTAGAACAGACGCTGGGTTTATTGTAAAGTGCAGTTCTAACAAAATTTTGCTACTACTTACATGACTAGGTCTCAACGGGTCTCACCACAGCCATGATCACCATGCAGAATATGCATATCTGTGATTGTTGTCACTACGGCAATGCCGACGGTTGCTGTGAGTACTACTGTACTCACATTACTAGCCTTACTGTTGCCATTGCCGACATCACTTGTCTGCCGTGGTAACCTGTCACTCTGATAAGGCCTCGTTGCTACGAAGACCAATATTGCTGACGACGCGCTTGTTTCCGTTCTTGCTATCAATACTGCCCCTCCTATGTTGATTACATGCATTACTTACGAACGAATCTTTAGCTACTGCTGCTGCACTTGTTGTAGTGGTGGTGGTGGTGGTGGTGGTGGTGGTGGTGGTGGTAGTCGTGGTGGTTGTTGTGGTGGTCGTGGTGGTAGTGGTGGTTGTGGTCGTTGTGGTGGTTGTGGTGGTCGTAGTGGT